ATTTAGAAAAACCTGAAACAAATAGTAAAAGAAACAATTATATTTTAAGAGAAATCTAAAAAAAAAAAAAACAAAACAAAAACTTAATTCCGAAAAGTAAATTTTAACTCAGAGGGGATGCATGAGAAGAAGGCAAAACGACGAATCGACCAGTTCTGACGTTCATCCATCAAACTCTGGCTAAGCTATCGATTCTTCTGTTCTGGGGAGAGTAAGGCAGAAAAATTTCCAACATCCCCGCATTTGCATCACTCACGGTTCATTATGTCCTCCTTCATCCGTCTTATCCAATCTTTACTATACCCAAAAACTAACTTTTGTTACTACAGTTTACACTTAACATTTCGAATTATCTTTCTTAATGGATCATCGTCTAACTGTTTCTATTTTTATCAATTTATTTTTCTTTGTAAATTTTAAACAGTTTTTTTTTCAATTTTATTGTAAAACTTTCTCATTTTATGAAATTTTAAACGTAATTTCGAATGTTTTTTATCTCGTAGAAAACGACATTTATGAATATTTTTGTATTAATTTACTCGAATTGTTCTCGAATTAAACTGAAATTATTTACTCTGTGAAATCTGTGGAATAAAATGTTAAAAATTTTGATAAAATCTCCTCTTCCCTTACATTTGTTCCATCGACACTTACAAGCAGAATTTATGAAAAGGATAACTTTCTACTTTTAGCATTTAATCACAATAAAATAGGAGTTTTATAGTCCATAGTTGAGCAATAATATCAAAATTTATATATTTAAAAATATTTAATACATTTTCTATAAATGCCATAAATTTTCCTTATATCATATATCTGTGGTTTCTTTTTTAAAGTTCTTTTATTCTACCCACTGTTCTTTTTTTCTTTTAAGAAAAGTTTCTTGCAGATAAATGCGAGGAAATTTATATTTAAATTTAAGATAAATTCTAATTAAATGCGAGTACATTTACAACTAAATGCAACGAAATTAACAATAAAAATAAAAGGCAATTTTATAATTAAATAAGGGAGAATCCGCATCTACTTGATAGGTGAAATCATAGTTAAAGGCGAAATACAATTAAATAAAAGATAAATTTGCAATTAAATGGTGATAAANGAAATTCTTTGACGTAAGAATTTTTTAATTTTAATTCTAAAAAAAAACGCTAAATACGAGGATGAAAGTAATAATTTAGATAATAATAAGTTTAATTATAATCAGGAAACTGAAAATAACAGATATTTAAGTGGAAGTTTTCGATAAAATCTTGCTTTTTCTTTGTTGATTAATGGATTGGAAAGCATAAAATTCTAATAAAATAATTCTTAATTAATGAAAATAAAAATTACTTTTGTAATGATATTCTCGCGAGAATAATTAGAAAATCGCTTAAGAAATTTTATTATTTTTAAAATTATATATATTTTTTCTTTTACTTGTTTTGTGTTAATTACAAAATTGGATAATTTTTTTTTTAAATAATAATATAAAAAAATTGTTACTTTTCATATATTTATTTTTATTATTTTTCTTTATAATTGAACATAATTACCAGATATTTTATTTTAAGTTGTAATTACATAAACCGAATCATAAATGTGTTATTTTTTTGTTATAATTTTCCTTAAATCGTGTTGCGTGCATCCGAAAATTCTCTTTAATTGTATTTTAAAAGAATATTTTTCATCCTAAAATATATAAAAAAGACATGCCAGAGCAGGATCTAATACTTAAGCAAGACATTCTACAATTTTAAAATATTAAAACTGTAGTTAAAAATCTAATTAAAACTCATTCGAAATTATCAAATTTTTGAAATAAAAGATGGAAAAATTTATTAATTAGGTATTTATAAAGTTTTTATTAAGTTATTAATGCTCAATTAAAGAAAAAAACCTCAATATATTTTATGCAAATTTAATAAAAACACGCATCTTTAACTAATAATACAATTATGATCATTATAAAGTTTGTATCCTTCAAAAAATTTAAATTTAACAAAAAAATGTAATTTATTATACGTAAAAATAACATTTTAAACTTTTATAATCATATTAAAATATTTTAATGGGATTGTATTTAATATTTTTAAAATATGAGCGAAATTAGTTAATATAAAACGAGCAATCATTTATTGTGACATGGTCATAATACCGGGCTGCAATTTTTAATCATATTTTTAATTTATTTAATTTAAAATATATACTGTCCACCTCAAATTAGTAGTGGCTTGTTCCTGTACAGTACTGTACATCACACTATTCCTTTAACAACAGAATCGTGCCGGTCATCTAACTCCGTTCTCGAGATTAAGGAAAGACAGACGGACGGATGATAGTGGGAATTTATAGGTATACAATTTTTTCAAATTGCAGCTCAAAAACTATTTTTTTAGATAAGATGCTTAATGATTTATTGACACGTAATATTACACTGAATAATATAAATAATACTAATAACAAGAACTGAAACATTTAGTTTTTAAGTAATAAATGTTTCAAAAAAATAAAAACAAATAATAATACTTCATATGCTAGGTAAAACGATACATCTGAATCAGTTTTTGCATAAATTTCATATAAAATTGTCTTTTCTCTTTGTGAGAGCTGCACAATTATGTGCCCACAAAGAACATTCCTTACATTTAAGCCATTTTTATGCTTGTTTAGACAACTATATTTCACTACATGACTTCTTGTATTCTCCCATTATCATCCAAAGTATAAATAATCTAAATTAGTAAATCATGTAAATTCATAACTACTCAATATCATCACATAAAATAAGAGCTTGCAACTTGAACGTTCAGTCAAATAGCTGATATCTCAATTTCCAATCGATAAATGATAATTACAATAATAAATAATACCATAACATATACCATAGAGACGAAGGAATAGTTTCTTGGTACTTGTAAAGCAGATTAGTTATATTATAAACCATGCGTTTCAATTATTTATGAATTAAGTCTATAATGACAAAATCTTGCGTAACAAACATAAAAAATATTGTATTGCACAGAATTTTCTTGGTTTTCTTTTTCTTTTAACAAAAGACTCTTCGTGATGTAGAAACTTCGTAATGATCGCTTCTTCTATCTTCTCAGCAGCGTAGAGTGGTAAATTCAAATGTATTTTATAACGTTTATCAAATATGGTGTAACATTTTACCCCAGTGTGCCATTTTAGGCCCCTATTCCCTATGTTTTCCTATGTTTAACATATAAAAATTTATCGAATCTCTTGTTAACGCTCATAAAATTCGAAGAATACACGCGACATGCTACAATAGGAATTCACACGACAAACGAACAAACAAAAACAGACTTTGTTTATTATACAAATGTTTGTTTATTTGTTCAACAACATTATATAATAAACAACGCTTGTTAACTGTACAAATATTTAAAGACTTACCGTAGGGGCTTAAGCCATAAAATTAGTAGCAATTCGAATCCAAACATAAATAAAAACCCTGATTTATTTTAATTAATAATAAAATTAACTTTATTCTATCTCTTACAATTCTGTTTAGAATTAAATTATTAAGGAATGCTTCAGTAATTGTTTATTCATGTGATTAATTGAACACTCCATTTATATGAATTGATTTACATAAGGTTGAAGAGTAGTTAGATTTTCCACCTCTCTATTATATATTATATTAACCAAGAAATGATTAATGAAACCGTTATTAAATTGATAAATGTTATGTATAGAAAAATAAGGAATAAATTTAACTTAATAATACATAAAATGTAGTAAATTGTTGTATTTTTTCACTTTTTTCGTTTATAATTTCGATACAAGTGACAAAAACGAAACGGAAAACAATTTTCTGCAAGTTCTAAGAATCTGATCGATTTTCACATTTCCTTATTTTGTATTTTACTTTATTTTTTTTTTCTTCTTCTTCTTCTTCATTCCCCTTTCGTGTATCATACGTGAATACTTTATCTGACTTTAAAAAAATTCCATAACTCTGGAGCTTTCCATTTCTTGGATATATAAGAATAACGAGATGGACAACTCAATATTTTCAAAGAATAATGTTTCATTTTCATCTTTTATTATGTTATTTTCTGTACAGAATATGATTTTATGAAAAAAAATTCGTTTAATAGAATGTTCAACGTGTTCAATTTACGTACCTTTTTTTAGAATATTTTCCAAATTTCTTATCAGGTGAGTGAAAAAACATTGATCTCATCTTCTTGGCAATGATATATTATCTAAAAATACTTTAAATTGTTGTTTTTTGTATTTAAAATGTTTTTATAAACTTAAATTTTAATATTTTAAGAGTTTTTTTTGAATTATTATAATTCTAAATTTACATAAATCAACAAGCAATCTGTTCACTTGTTGACTTATTAAACAACTTAAAATTCGAATTTATTTTAATGTATTTTTATGATTTAATGACTAAAATGTTTAAGTTTGTATACAATTTTTATTTTAAAAAATTTAAATGTAATTTATTTCACTCAATAAAATTTTATTTTTCTTATTTTTTAAATATATGTTTAAGGTTTTTACTTAAAGTTTTAAGTATGCGGATTCTTCGCATTTTTTGTGAATTTTTCTTTTACAAAAAGCAATCTAAAAACTGATTTAAGATAAAATATATTTTGAACATAAATAAATAAAAAAAAAATATCGGACATAAAATATATAAAACACGGAGCGATTATTGAACAGAGAAAAGAAGGATTTTTACTTCTTTTCTTTGTATCTTGGATATGGTATTATGCGTTAACTCCTGTTTTAAACAAACTTTTCCAAGAAAAAAAAAACTAGGAAAAATTTTAAAAATTTAATTTTAGAGTAACTTAGGAGTTTTTTAAACTAAATTAATTAATAAAATTGCTCTCGAGTGTTCATAAATATCGTATTTTAACTAAGTTAACATTTGTAAGTAGCTCATCATCGCGTATCAAAGATGGAGAATTGGCATCACAGTAACAAATTTGTGGCATAACGTGTATCTGATATACCTTCTTCGTTGATCATAGGTTCCACTAGAAAGTTCGACGAGGCCTGAAAACGAGTGCGCATGCTTACATCAACCACGAATCAATAGTTCTGCAGAAGGACTCTAGAACACAGCATCTGACAGTCACGGCCGTAACACGCTCGAGAATCGAAGCGTGACGTGACGACACGCGGATTTATTTCTTGTATGTGACAACCGCCGTCGAAAAATTTGTGGTCCTTTTATTCACAGTTCGGAAATATCGAAAAAATAACAAAAAACAACAAAAAAAAACTCAAAAACGACCCTCAAAAAAAAAACGCCTAAAGTTACCTGGTAAGTACCGTAAACTTTTTACTTTTTCTTTGCTTTTTTTACGCGTTACGCGTAACGAAGAGTTACGCGTATGTAGTTTACGAATAATTTTAAATGTTGCGTTACCTTTAATTAAAATTCTAAGCGATTAAATCGGATTTAAGCGGCTCAAACGGTTACTTTAAAAAGAACCTCGATTTAGCGAGTTTGGTTACAAGAGAAAATTTTTCTTTATGTCGCGTTAGTGTGAGTATTTCATTTATTGGTGAGGGTTCAAAAATTTTTTTATATATTTTTTTATTTTTATTCCCGTTCTTCTGCTCTCTATACTTTCATTTTGCTCCTATTCCAATCGACCAGAAGCTTGATAGAACTTGATAAGGTTTTTAAGCTGTAAACGTGATTTGTGAGCGGAGCGGAAGGGACAAGCCGACAACCCCACGACTGGAATTGGAGATCGATGCTGGTTAGTTACAGAGTGGTGCAGTAACGATTGAACTCCAGTTTGTTGAACTGTCCTTGCGTTGTCTGTACTCGATGACCGATAACTTTCGATAGTTTATTTTCCTAATAGTTACGATACTGTGCGAGTTGCGTTACGCGAAATATTCAGAAAATTATTTTGGATGATAGATTATCAGATTTCACCCAAAATTGACTTAAATTTAACCCCTTTTTACACGAATTTATCGCGTTTTATTGCGGTTTAATCTGGAAAAGTAATTGAGTCATACGTGTCCATAGTTGAAATCTTGAGTTTCCTATCCCATTTAAACAGCTTACTTGTTTCCCTTTTACAAAGTCGTCTTCCGTTTTCTGGACTCTGAAGATAGCCCATGTCACGTAGAGGTCGACATCTGTGCTTTTCCCTATACTTCCTATCTACTTCATCCACACATCGCGCTCCAAACACTCTTGAGATACCTTCAACTCTCAACTCGTCTGTCTCCATAAAAGATTCTTCTTTTGTAAAGGCGGCAAGAGAGATTGTAGCTGCTAGCCGCTACACAATAATACAAATTTTAATGTTTTTAACCTAAAACTTTTCAAGTTTCTCCTCCCTGATGAGACGAATTTATCATATCAACGAACTAAATTACATGTTTTAGCTTCGCTGCTACTTACTCCCTGAGCGGAAAGTTAACTTATTCTAGTAGAAAATGATGATGATGATGATGATAAGCAACGAGCTGATGATAATATATTTATGAATTAATTTCAATTAAAACATTATTTTAAGCATTTTATTTTAAATCGCTATCGTTAAAGATTGATTAATCGACTTTATCTGAGACTCGGATCTACTTCATTCGTCAACATGTAACTTTAACTTGGATTCATTCAACCTGAACGGAGTTTAATGCACATTTAAATTCTAAGAAATTCTCGTATCGAGTGCTGATTTAACAAAGGAATTTAGTTTAATTAAAAATTTAATTTTAAAATTGTTAAGTCTGTTCGAGTATCGTTGGATGCTCTTTATTATCGATTGATATTGGATAATTGATGTTTTCGATGACTCTTCTCTTTCTAATAAAGCGTTAATCATATTCAAAAAGATAATTTACATAGCTTTAACGTAAAAATTGAAATTTTTAACGTCAAATTTTCCAACAAACAACAAATTCAACCAATGAAAATAACTTATTTTCTGAAAATACAAGAAATTTTCTTGTGTATTCTCTCCTGTTTATCTTCTGAAAAAAAGCTTTTTAAATTAAATAATTCTGTTTTATTTTAATGTAAAAATGCTTCGAATTTTATTTATTCAAATTTTCTGTATCTTAAATTTGTATATTCGATGTAAAATATCTCCAATTTTTTGCCTAGAGCAAAGAATTTTTACAGAAAATATCGAAACTAAACAAAGTAGAAAAATCTTTAAAATATATTTTTATATATATAAATTTATTATAAAATAAAAAAAATAAATAAATTTAAAATAAATTTTGTTTTTTTTATATATATTCATTTATTTACTTTTACTAATGCTATTATATATATATTTATTATTGTAGTAAACGAATTTCCTTATAATAACATTTGAGGAAAAAAAATTATTTTTAGATCAATAAAATAAATAAATAAAATCTTATTAAATTTAAAATGAATCATTAAACAAATTCTAATTAAATTATAAAAATTATAAGTTAATAATCATTTAAAATTCATTAATTTAATGATTAAAGCTAATAAGAAAATCAACAAAATTTAGTAAAAACGTGTTTATTTTATATAAATTTTAACTTACTTTTTAAAAAAAAAATACACTTAAAATATACAATTTATTACCTATTTATTTATATTATAAACTAATTTAATTATATTTTATTATTTAAATGAAAAAAACTAATTAAGATCATTCGAGCAAAAGTTTAATATTAAAAATTTTAATTACTTCTTGAACATGTTATAAACACGTAAAAAATTTCTGTTATAAATTTTAATAATTATCTTGGCTTGTTTTTAATAGAATTCTTCGACTTTATAACATTTTATGATCTGTAGCATGTTAATTTTCGACTCAAGTCATGCACTAGAAGAATCGAACTAACTACATCTTATCTAAACTTAATCCTATTTCTCTGACACTTCGCTTGAATAAACCTTATTTATAACTTTAGAAATTTAATAAGTTACCAAAATAAACTTTTGTTTGAGAATTAATCGATTTATCTTTGGTTGCAAGATGAAATAACTAAAACTATTTCAAAAACAGACTGCTTAACAATGTACAAAATAAACGCATTTATCCTTATAGATGTATACTGTACGGTGCAGTATAGTACTTTAAACAAGAAAAATTGCATTAAACGCACTAAAATACATTGCTTTTTTTTAAGTTTACATTCTTAGAATGTACAAATTAAATCTATTTATCTGTAGGAAATATATAGAAAGAGATATATTAGTCCTTAGAGAAAGCCAAATCACATTAAGTTTTAGAATGTGGAAAATTCTTAAAATGCATGTAAAAAATTTTCATTTATATTTCGGATGTACAAAAATTATATTTATCTTTAAAATATATAAGTGCTAAAATCTGCAATTAGCTTTAAAATTTATCCTTAAACACTTATTTTTATTCATAAAACCTAATCTTTTCTAAGTATCTGCAAATATTCTTTAAGTATAGATAAGCACCATTCATCCTTATATTACATAAGAAGCTTGATTTATCCATAATCATGTACAAAAATTAAATTTATCCTTAAAGATTTGTTTATTTTTAACATATAAAATGCTATATTTACCTATATAAAAATGAATTTATACAATTTAAAGTTAAAATTTGTATATAAAACAATGACATTTTAAGCTTGGTTATTTATAAATGTGATCATTTCCACGACTAAATTTAATATTACAAAGATTTTAAACGTGAAAGTGGATAGCTGGCTTCTATTGCTACTGCTAATGTTTGGATGCTTTACGTTTGTCAATAATGTCTGTCTGTAGATATCAGGCGATATCTAATAGTCGTTGTAACCATTTGTTGTTATGTAATGATTACATAACTCAATATCCTGCATACAGAACAGAATGTGTTACTTCATAGTAAGTGATGCGAAAACATTACTTTTTATGGATCGATAGCATCTTTGCTCTATAATCTTATTTGCTACGGTTTCATTGTACGAAGCACCTATACAAATGGATTTTTTTGAGTGTCTGCTTGTTTTTTTGGATGTTTCAGTCGCTTAGAATTATCAAATTCGACAAATGGAGAAGAATTTAACATTAATGTAGCCTAATATTTTCCAAACATTATAATAAATATTTAACAATATTTCGTTCGGTATCATCAAGAAATTTAAATATTAGATTGGTTTGGTATATTAAAAAAATATAAATTATATTTCCGTCCGTTTGTCTGTTCTACGTTTTGTTTCTTTCAACTTAAGCCGATAATAAATTTATTTCTTTTGTTATGATTTTTATTGAATTATTACTGTCTTCTCTCATCTTAAAACATTTTCTTTTTCTCTTAAAAAATAAAAAGAAATAAAAGAAAAATGGTCTTAACTACTAGAATAACTTTCGAGTCACGTCCTTACTCTTATTAAAGATTTATTTTTTTGAGCTTCGTGTAACTAGGAAAAAAAAATATAACAATATTTTTGAATGTAATTTTCGAACGATTTATAAGAGCAACAAAGGGGAATGAATGGATTTATAGGTATTTTAAATGTTTCTAAGTTTCATAAATCCTTAATTTGTAAAACAAATTTTGTACTTCGGGGAGAAAAGTTGATTGTTTCGAGTAGTAGATTGGTTACGCGAATCAGATTATGGTAACGATCTCAATTATTGGTGAACGCATTACTCTGACACATCAGCAATACTCAACAATAAATGCTTAAGTAATTATTGTTAGATATATATGATTCATAAACATGAAGCTTTAGGTTATTCTGTTTGTATCACTGAAACGATTAACGCGTTTAGGTTTAGAATTTTGATATAAATTTCGTCACATCACTGATATAACGTCATTTGCTGTGAAAAATAGCAATTGTTACGCCCCTTTGTCTATAAAAACAATTGAGTAATGTAATATTTATGAATTTCATTAACTTTATTTCATTATTATAGTATAAAAGACGATTATGACGTAACACTTCAATTATATCAGTTTCTGTTTCGAAATTTACTATAATTACGTTATAAGATAATGAAAACTAACCCGTGACTTAAGAATCAAACTTATACGATAATCTATTTATATTATTACGTCATTTTTAATTATAATAAGTCTATTATGTAATAATTGAATTTACATCACAATCAATACTTATTATTACGTCGATAATAGTGAAAAATAAACGTGTGACGTAAGAATGTGTCGAAATTTTCTATTATTACGTCACATCTTTAATAAACGTAACAGCGAATCTGTATTTTAGGGATAAATGATGGTTTCTTTTTAGTACACTTTCCATTGAGACAGAGAGAGAAGGAAAACAGATAAAGAATAAAACATAAAACAGGAACATATGTCGGATGATTTTTCTCCAAA